TATCTGCAATCTTAGCAAATACAAGGATGGTGTTCCCTCGGATCTACATATCCGAGTCCTTCAATCGCTTCAACAAGTTCAACCTGAAGCGAGCGCAGAATCTACCAACCAGAACTATTGGTCGGATGGGTCGATGTGGGTACAGATACTCAAAATAAGCGATTCTCGTCAAGGCCAAAGTACTGTACAGAACATGCTCGAATATATAGGAGCTTGGGAGTGGTACAATACTCAGTTGGAGCTTGCGAAGAAAACACTCAGAACTAAAAAGAATAAATCAGTAGGGGAGCGCGGTGCGGCGTTGCATGTAATGAATCAAATACAGAACAGATGGATCAGCGGAGTGGGAATAGTCACTCCGCATGAAGATGAGTATAATTCTCTGTCAAGAAGTGGCTCTTCCAGTATAACTGGGGAGGGGAAACATCTGCAGCGAAAGCGGATTAACACGCAGCTCTATCGAGGAAAGATGTGTACCAAACTCGTGAAAGAACTTGGTCTTGGAATATTGTTCGATCGAAATATCTGGTAAGAGCCAAGATAGTGTTGATATCTTTCGTTACTGATATAGATTAGGGTCTATGTTAAATCGAAGATAGAGCAGCTTGATACCTTGGTAAAGGATATCGAAGCCGATACTAGATATATGAAGCTGCTCCAGATTCTCAGTCCACAAGTAGAACAACTTGTGAAGAATGGGTCACCAAATCTTCATATTTTCTACGAGGACCTAAAAAAGGCAGAACTACTCTCCGAAAACGAGCTCCGTGAACTGGAAGAATGTTTTGCCTTGGAAGGAGTAGGTAACTAGCCCACGACAGTCAGAGTATATGTTAATTCCATCACCGAAGGACCCCCTGCCTCATGGTCAGCTCGAGTCAAAAATTGATCGTCTGATCAAAGATGTCAATATAAAGGTACTGGATCAGACAAGATTTGGACGTGATGATACGATTGCAATCAACGATGGTATAGAGATACCGTGCGATATCTTCGACCGACTTCGCCCAGGCAAATGGCTGAATAGTTGGACTATCAATGCTCTCATGCAAATCTCCGATAAACCTGCTTTTGTTAGGCATAGTCTAAGTATCCCGTTGGATGAAGAGAGTGGCAACGGTAATTTTCGGCCGATCAAACGCCCCCTAGGAGCCTGGGCCAAAAAGATGGCTGGGTTTCGGGAAAAGGCCAGGGATCCCTCTGGAGTCCTGGCCCCTTTGGTTTTCTTTTGCCCAATCAACCATGGAGGGAGACATTTCTCGTTACTTGAGATCAATGACCGGGAGAAGGTTATACGCCATTATGATTCGAGGGCTAAGACTGCTACCAGACTCCGAATGGGAGATATAATTAAAAAGCAGTTTGGCGATTTGAACTTCTCCTACACAGAAGTGGTAAGTATCAGTCCTCATCTATAAGTGCCTTGCAAAGTACTAATACGACTGACATAGCCTACTCCGCAACAGGTCGATGGCTGGAGTTGCGGAATCAGGACGGTTTGGAATTTCCGGCGTTTATCGAACAATCTCTCAATTGGAGCAGGCGATACCGCGCTGAATCCAGACCGGATGATACTAGAAATCGTAGAGGGGCTGACAGCCTGCGTGGAGGGTGGCGCGATGACAAAATATGTTCGACGGAGACGCTCAGAGCGAGAGAGGCGACTGGTGACCTGAAACAAATAACGATAAGTTATACCGGAGATTGAAAAACAGTAAGTGATGGAAGTGGTGATTCTCTGAATACGCTGTTCTCAATGCATAAATGAACATTCATTAAGCAAGAGGGAATTAGCCACCAGCTGATCATTAGGGAGGCGTTATTATAATCAGTGACTAGCCTTGGTGACTAAAAATGTGGCCTCGGCAGTATTGAAGATAATTACTTTCTATTTTTCATCCAACAGCGGTGGTTGGATAGTGCCAAGTCAAGAAGTCAACAATGAAATGGACGAATGTCCAACCTGCGTATCGAAATCAAAACGAAGCACGGTGGCGAGAGTGTTTTCTTAAAATTCCTCAAGTACAGTTCGTAGGTCAACCTCTCAGCCTGTAAGTTAATATATGTCTACTTTACAGGGACTACGTACTATCTGAAGCTCAGGAAGGCTAACTCTAGGAGATGGGAGGTTCGATATAAAAGTTGAGATAAGCGATGCGATGAATACTTACTTTGCTAGCCTACTACTTTTATATAAAAGAGATGATTCGATTAAAAATACATATTAATGACCAATGAGACGCACTAGGCCATATAAAGTGCCCCAGCACTTGGGAAAATCCATTCCTTGATTTATACAAACCCGTTAAACTCGCGGCTCAGGTTATCTAGATTAACCCCGATATATATATAGTGATGCTCTCGGAAGTCTGTATAATTATTTCAGAGTTTAGAGCCCAACACGTCGACATTCCCTCACCAGCTAGTCTTCCTATCTCTTTAAACTCGATACTAGGGAGATTTCGATTCTGTTTTCAATGAGCTTCCCTGGAACAAGACTTAAGCTATACGTACCTGATGACACAGATGTATAGCTGTCCGCTTTGAGGCAGCAACGACTGAGCAACCAGGCTCGTAGATATGCAGTTGGGGCATTCTGTTCAAGTGGCATATCGGATAGATGATATCGGTCAAGTCTACGTTGCGCTCATTTGGTTGACATATTATATTCATCTATGACGGTCAGTTAGAAGGAAATATCTATCCAGGAATGCCACGCACAATACTGAGATCCCCAAGACCAATCATTTGCGGCAAGGCTGTTAGGCTTGCCAGGACCATATTTTGCATCATTCGTCCGTGTGAATTCTCGCCTCTGGTTGCCACGGATAAATACCTGCTCGGGAAAAAGAATATATAAAAGCAATGGTATCTATAATAAAGGTTTAAGAAGGCCTTGGAGAGGTTGTGATTTATATATAATCTAGACCGTCTAGCAGTGATACTTTAAGAGCAAGGGAAAGAAGCTGTGACACACTCTCAATTCGCCTTTAGAGAATACCCAGGATGCAAGCGCTCCCTACCCTCCTTTTTACTTTCCAGCAGAAAGTACCTGCTATAATTAGGCAATCGCCGATACCATTGGCCAACCTATGGCCTCTTTTTAGTACGTCCCGCCGTCTAAAGTCTAACAATGGAACCGGTAGAGATCCCTGTCGCTGCATTGCTCAGTAATAAGACAACCTATGTAAGTGGCCACGGTTTCACTCATCTTTGCTGTTTATATCATCGTGGTCGGTTACATCGCTATCCACCAGATAAGCCGAGCTTTACCGTAAGCGCCTTAGCCAATGGAGGAGGTCTTGATATAATTTCTCCCGTTGGGCCTGCGCTAGTGGCCTAGTAAGGCTGCGCCGCAGCTGGAAGCGATCATGTGATACATTTGACTGGTAGAGATGATTCCACTAGCAGTAGCGTTAGCCGTAATCACCCGTCCTCCAATTGCAGAGTAATATGGAATACGAAAGGCTATCTGTCTGTCGTGGTCGTTCAAAAAGTTGAATTATGAATTACACTAGATCTAGTAACATCATCTGTCTATCCACGGTGATTTTCTGTTGGGCTGGGCTTTTTAGACCCTTGTTCAACACAACTATTATTTCTACTAGCCTATTCTGGACAAAGGGAATTCGAAACTTTATACAGGTTTAGTAACACTCCAATTCAACTGACAGATTTGGAAGCGATGTAAGGCCTAGCACAATAGCCTTTGCTACCACTGCGATATCTCGCAGGTATTATGTTGCAGGGGTATATCCACTTCGCCCTCCCCCCGAATCCTCCACATAGTATACTCTAGCCAAAGATTGATTTCCTTCCCACACTGTCTGTTTTCAGCACCCATTTCATCCAGAAGTGGTCAGAATGTATAACGTACCCTATCAACGATCTCCTGGTCCTCCAATGTAGGCTCTAGTAGTATATCAATCCCAGGAATTGAAAGTCTGTCTATGAATGCATAGACTTTGCTTTTTTCTAGGTGCCGTGCACTTCTGCCGAGGCCATTTTTGACTCGGAGGTCTGCGATCTTTCCTTCCACACCAGCCTTCGTGCGGTTGAACATACGGTGGCTGAGAAGCATAACGATGTCGTGTTGTCGGACACCTATGACGGAAAAGTATAAGATAGTTGCAATTTCTTCATCCGTCCATTCATATCCGGCCATCCTGTCATTTGATTATGGATGTTTGCGTTCTAGAGGAGAGGAGACGCTTGGTTTATATAGGCCCTCCCTTTCAAAGATTAATACCATGGAGAGACCAGAGGATTATTAACAAAGTTTAAGACAATTCAATAAGCAAACCTAAATACAATAGGTCTTTTAGGCTTGATATAACCCCGCCTTGCACTACATAGTCAGTCCACAACACTCCCAGGTATAACTGGCTATAAGCTCAGTAAAAGCATTATTTTTTATTTGTAAAAACATGATTGATATTTGGTAGCTACTCCAATGTTAGTGTTATCACGTCAATATCGGGAATAAGAAACAAACCTTGAGAAGCTCTGGCCCATCACTGGGTGTGAGGTATGAGAAAAAGTCGCCCTCTAGTGTAGATGACATGAGTGCGTAAACTGCATTTTCGTCCCATAGGCTTCCTTGGTCCGAACAAAGCTCTGGTCGTTCCACGCGTATTCGGCTGAGTTTTCCCTTCACTGCGTGTTCAGTTCTCTCGTACTGTAGTGCGACTGGTGTTCCATCGATTGCGCTTGTTTGAATTCCTCGCACTTCGGCGATTTTGTTGGTTAGAAATCGAGCAATTTCTCCACAGTCCATTCCCCACATATTAAGAACGACAGCAACGACGGTCTCCTCTGGCGTCCATAATAATCCTTTCATTATCGCAAGTGTAGATTGTTTTGGAAGCACTCAGTTGCTGTTCCAGCTCCATTTTATACTTGCGGCGCCGCATTATAACCAAAAAAAATACCATTACTGTAATTGTTCAAAGAATAGAAATATGCATATTCCATATCGGTAGAGATGCCTCTTGTATATCGATGTCCTGCGGCGTTTGAACAATAATCTACTATACTAGGGTTCACATCCTGATAAGTGGGGTGCTTTTCTTGTACTGGTCCAAATGGCCCCACTTGATCTGCGCCGCGGCTGGGTAAGGTAACGCCCGAGCATGGTGTGAAACTCTGTCGCAGGACCATGCTTTCCCCTTTTCGTCGAACCAATCGGTGTTGTGGGCGGGATAAACCTTGCCGCAGGAACACTCTTGGCCACGCTTGTATCCCATCTATACACCAATCTTGGGATCATAGCATCCGGACATCCATATTCACTAGGGATTTGTCATATCGCCTCACTGAAAAAAGTCTTCTGTGCTCGCAATTGGACTGAGTCGCAATCGTAGCCGTCATTTTCCTGATCATGTCTAACTTGCATGCGGGGCAAGATACGAACTTACATGCTCTTATTCGACAGCGCAAACCATTTAGTGGACAAATAAATATGATGATCAGCTCCAATCGCGTTTAATGCCCTTTCAGCTTGCCAGGAGCGGTTCCATCATGACTCACTTTTTACCCTGTTACAGTCTAATAATAGAATGTTATTTCCATACTATCTTCTTTACTCAGGCGGTTCACGTTTTATCTACTGCTTTTCTTTTTAGTGCCTCTCTAAACATCATTTATATTATATACTATATTCAGAAGCGTCCTTTAGTTGGGCAGTTTCTGGAATCTTTACTTGACAACATGTCTACAGAACCTGCCACTGTTACAACGGACGCCGCAAAGAAGCCGTGTATGACGGAGGTGTGTATATTTTATAACCGGGTTATTGAGGAAATAATGTTGCTGATACTAAACAAGCTGTTCCGCGTGAGACACATCTCCTACCTGCAACATATCCTTCGAGAGTTGGCCGCTGCTAGGGGACAGGATCAGCGCTCTATGTCAGAATATATTCAATCCCAAGCCATTACGATCAATGAGGTATCCACAGCCAAGAGGCTATGCGAGTCAGAATTGCAATGTGAACAGAGTGCGCATGCGCAGACAAGACAGGCGCTGGAAATTGAGAAACAGCTGCGCCTAGAAGCAATGGCCACTCTGACTAGAAATCACTACGACCTCCTTACGTATCAGGCGGCACAGTCTGCTTTACAACAGGCTTTGGATGTCGAGAGAAAACGTCTAGAAGATATGGCACTGCAGCTGGAGTGGGCACAGAAAAAGTTCTTTCTAGTTGATAGCTTAGTCGATTCCATGCTCCTCCAGGAGGATAGTCAGCTGGATGTTTCCGACCGATCTAGGCAGGTGACGGATGTAATACTGGACATGGAAGATAAAATGGAGGCCCAATATAGGGCCATGCTACGGGAAAGAGAGGGAAGGATTGCGCAGTTGGAATGCGTACTTTACAAACATGGGGTTGAATTTGGTATCTCTTCTGGGGAGCAACGCGGAACAGAATAATTAGTATGTAAACTGTGCAATATACTCTACATTATACCAGTGGTGCTGCCATTGTTACTTTTCTTATGCTTATACATATAAAATAGCGTCTTTTATGTGGTGCAATAATTCTGTGGCTACACTAAAAAGTGTGTTGCGTCACAACACCACACTTTTTCAATTCCATCGAAAATTGTGGCACTATACTCGGACATATAAAAAATACCTGGCTGGTGATATCTAGTATTAGGAGCCTAATATCTTTCCATTATGGCGAAGTGCGAGCATAACTTCTGGATAGAGCTGGTAAAGCACAAGGCTGTGCCGCAGCTAAAAAGTGCGTCCAGGCTTGCGCGGCTGGTTGGAGAGCTGCCCGAACCAGCGGCGCAATCGCCGCAGATGGTATTTTTCATGGGTCGTAAACTAAAAGACCAAGCACTGCGGCAATTGTGCCGCAGCAATTACCGTGGGCAGTCTCGCCACAGGCGATCCATCACGCTGCGCTCTGACAATCGCACGTTACATACCCGGCAGCCTCGCTTTTTCGCCGATTGTGATCCTACCAATCGCGTGCTGCCAACAGCCATTGACAGTGTGTATCACTGCCATGAAGAGCGTGTTTACCCGTTGGAATTGCCTGCGGTGGAATATTCCTTACACGATATTATCATGTCACGATTGCTTTTCCTTGTAGTGGATGTGATCTGCATATTTGCGGACGATGTTGGTGGCTTGGAAGGTGTCCGACAACTTCTGTCTACTTGGATAAATATTGGATCTTCTTCCTCCCTTCCACATACGGTTAGACCCAGGGTCATCGTTGTAACCAGCAGCCAGACCGAAAGTATCACTCACAGCCTGCTGGACGAAGAAGACTTTATCTTCCAACTTCTCCATGTAGGTAAGCTACAGTTTTTCTCAGCTTTCGGGGATATACAAATCTCTCGACTGCCTGCCGAAGAACTTTCCCCTGATGCTCGTTATATAACGCTTGGTGGAGATATATCCCGCCAACTCCAGATTGCTAAGAACGATCGTGACTATCATGGTGTTCTGTTTTCCGGAAAACATCTAAATGCGTTCTTTGAGCTTGCCCTGCAGCATGCAACAGCGCAGTTGCTTCGTCCATTTAATTTCATACTGGCTGCGCGTCAGAAGAACCCCATCGACGGGGCCTTTACATCTCACCTTATCAATTTCCTGAAGTTGGGAAACCAGACACGGGCACCATATGATGAAATGGCGTCCTATGTCGCCTCTGCTATATTGATGGATGCCTACCCCCCCGGGATGCATGGTGAGTACTTGTCTCCACCACATCTATTATCCTTTGGGAGTCAGTGCTAATATCAGGAAAGGGTTTAATCCTGCAGATGTCTTCCACAAACTTTACGGAGACACGTGTTATCGGGCACTGCGGAAATGCTATAGCACTGATGCCCTCGCGACTCTGCAGTGCACCCGAATAAAAGGACATCTAACTATGCTGTTTGACAGGATGGTGGAAACCTTGAAACCATCGTCGGAGATTCATAAACATAATCTGGCGCAGCAGCAAAAGTATTGGCGCTGGACAAGGTCAAATGTTACCTGTCTATTCTGCCTTCGGCGCTACCCCGAGCACACCCAGGTGTGTGGCCACGCGATATGTGACACATGCACAGAGATATTTGGAGAGCCAGCGCCACATAGTGAAGCCGAGTACCTTATTCGGGACTGTATATTGTGTGGCACCTTGAAACATCTCACTATTCGGCTTGCACCGCCAACCGCCGCGCCGCGGGTATTGAGTATTGACGGTGGGGGACCTCGCGGTATCATTCCGTTGGAAAATCTGGAGATACTGCAAGAGATTCTTGGACCTGAGATCCCCTTGGTCGATATGTTTGAACTAAAAGCTGGAACCAGTGCCGGGGGTATCATAGTTCTTAGCTGGACTATTCTCCGCCTTTCCATCTCGCAGTGCAAGAAAATGTTTCAATCACTGACAAAAAGCGCACTATCTCCAAAGTGCAAGAAAGGGTTGCTCAGCCGATGGCTGTCCGATGAGACTTACGATAGTCAGGTGTTTGAGAACATACTAAAGGAGCACTACGGGCCAACACGGCGGCTTTTTGACCCACCACCATCGTTAGTATGTTCTGGAAAGGTCGTGGTCACAGCAAGTTCGATTAGTGACGGGGCACCATTCATTTTCACCAATTACAATGGTGCAGCTCCTCATCGAGCAGAGCCAGGTACGTTATGCATTCAAGTCAGAGGAAACGCAGAGACGACAGTACTGATAGTAATAGTTTGTGGTAGACTGCGGCCGAATGTCGACGATGAGCCTTTTATTTGGCAGGTGTAAGTTTTGAAACAACGCTCATCGGCCATTGGGTCTAACATTAGATACTTTAGTGCGCGTGCTACCTCTGCTGCTCCACCGTATGTCAGGTGAAGTCTTTGTCACGCACTGAGCTAATAGTCTCATAGTTTATTTTCTACGATTGATCTACCCGGCATCGGAACATTTCAAGATGGCGGTATGGGGCGCCACAACAACCCTGTTAACCTAGCGTTGTCAGAGTCAAAGCACTTGTGGCCTAGTTCCCCCGGCCCTGATGTTGTTATTACCCTTGGAACTGCGTCTGAAACAAGGCCCTCACGGCCATCAAGTTTTCGGAATATTGTCGTGGATGGGTGGGTTCCTCGCGTGTACCGCTCTCTAAGGGCGAGCTTTGACGGCCGTACTACATGGAAGGAACTAGAGGACCGTTTGGACACAGGATCCCTCGATAATTTCTTTAGGTTCGATGTGAGCCTTCCGAATGAGCTGCCTGCAATGGACAATACCAAGTGTATGGAGCACTTGTCCCGTCAAGCACGAAAGGAAACAAATGAGTGTTACGATATCAGAGCCTCGGCATTAGCCTTGCTTGGATCATGCTTTTTCTTTAAGCTAGAAGCTATGCCAGATTATCGAGATGGTCTTTTCCTTTGTAGGGGAACGATTCGATGTCGTGCAAGCGCACGACCTCTCCTGAACCGCCTACTAGAGATGGAGCCGAACACACGGGGATTCTATAAGGACAATCTGGAGTTAGGCCTTCCTTTATCAGCTGATGATATATGTGCTACGTGTCATCGATACTGTTTACCAGTTCGGTTCTTGGTTCGAGATCTCTACGAAAAGTTTTCTCTGTCTCTACGACTTGAAGGAACGGCTCGTCGATTGAGCGCTTTCCCAAATACAATACAGTGGTTCATAGATCAACAAAGACTTGATTGCCCTTTTGGATCAGCAAACCACAATATACCATTTCAAATGGAGTGTCCGGATTGCAGTACTCATGCCTTGGAAAAAGGTAGAAAGAGGAAGTATATCGAGATTTAATAGTGTCTCACATCTTATCAAGTACCATCATGTCCTTATCAAATTCCTCTTTCTGGGTAACATGCTCAAGTTGTGCAATACACTTGCGCAGAACTCTATTGTAGTCTGAAAGTATCAATCTTAGCTGCTGATTTTGCTGGCGTAGCCTTTCAATTGATGCTTGATCCTCCTCTCGGTAAAGTCGGTGTTTCTCCAGCTCCTGGGCCAGGTTTGAGATGGTCTCGTTTAGATTCTGAGGTCCAGTTCTATCTTTATCCATAGCCCTCTGCTTTTAGAATTAGCGGAATCCTGTGTTATTAGATTAAATCACTTACAATATGTATAGAAAGGTTTGGGTAACAACTGGATGGCACTGGAAGAAACGGGCTTACACAGAACTGGCTTATTTCTATTGAGTGTACAGATAACTTCATTCAGAGAGGGAGACTCCAAAAAAGAGGGAGGGAGGCGCAGGGAACAAGATCAATTAGGAACCCCGCTATGTACCCAGCATGCACCCGCTTTCTATGGTAAGCGAGATCCCTGCCCTGTTAGCGCTAGTGTAAACCCAGAGTAATGCCGCCTTTCTAGCCATGCTTTTTGCAAAAGGCCATAATTTTTGATGTAGTATCTCCGTATAAAAGGTGTCGTGTTGACAGCTTTGATTTCAGTCAAGCCAATCTCACTCACTTCCACTACACAATGCAGGCACCTTATATCGAAGAAGAAATCGAACAACTGCTTCAGGAGCTTGGTGGCCTACCCCCAGACACCGCGGGGTACGACTTTGCACTTGATCCGTCGGTTCTTACATCAAACATTCAAGATGAGGCTTCTCTTTCTTATTTTACCCCCCTTCCTTCCATATTGGAAGATTCCACTAGCTCCATGAACAGCGACGCGGGGCTTAATGAAGCCAGATTACGTGATGTAGAAGAGCAGCTTAAGAGCTCCCAGGCTGAGTAGGTCAACTTCTAATATTTTTCTATATCTTTGTTATTAGGCAGTTGCTAATCTTTCATACAGGATTGAGTCTCTCATGAAGTATGTGTCTTTTGCTTTTCCCGGTTCTATTTTTCCTTCACTGCTTCTGACACTGAATAACTTTAGGACCATGATGCGCATAAAGGCATATTTGTCTGACTTGCATCCTTGGACACTAGAGATTACCGAGGCACTTGATAAGCTGGGTGAAATCCCCTCTACTACCACTGAACATATGCTCCCTATCGGAGACGATGATGAGGTTTAAATCATACTGAAAGAGTCAATCTGCTGCTTCCTGTATTTATCTGTCCATCTATTTTAGTTACTCTTTCCTTAAGCTTTGCTTATATCTCTGTCTACAACCCTTTCTCTATGTTTTCAGTAAAATACAAAGTTGTACGAATATATGATACCAAATGTTGGGGCATTGCTATGAACACCCGACGAAATAGGCACTAGAAATAGTAACGCATGGTAGCTCCACATCATTGAGTTTACACTAATGCGCGTTCCACACAACAACTGTGGTCCTTTTGTCTTTTGTCTTGGCTTACTGCGACTAATATAACGTAGAGCCAATAACATTCCAGAATATTTGGCCCCACCCAGGATGCTCTGCAATGGCCAACTACTACTGCATCTAAAAGTCATGGAGGAACGACAGTCCCACTCAACTCTTAACAATTCGATATCGAAAGGAGCCAGAACAAGGCGTATTTTTCCACTTTGGGCTCCCCGAGCCTGCATATCCCGTGACGGTATATCTACATATATAACAGTCCTGTTGCCCGAAGCAGCTCCCACGCTTTCAAGCTTTCACGATATTCCACTACCAATTTACACTCCCTGTCCCATAATGGACATCAAATCCCTTTTGAATAAAGAAGATAATTGCAGTGATTCCAATCTTCCCTCTACCAACCAGCAACCGCAGCTCGAAACAAGGAGGGATACGCTGCAGGGACGCAATCAGTGCGACTTTCCACCGTATCACACAAACCTAGCATCCCAGAATGTAACATCCATACCTTTATCAGTACCATCAAACGCCAACCGGTTAAGGGCGCCTCGTGCTAGATATACGACCGAAACGTCCCGTCAATCTACTATAGTATGCAACTTATGCATGGTACATTCAAGGTCGAGGACCTCAAGAGCAACCTTCCGTCCCGCCGATGATGCTGCCATTATCTATTTATCTGAATCTATCCGCAGGTCTCCTAGAATAGCCATGCAGCTTGCATTACGACGAGGTCAAATGGCCACAGACAAGAGAAGAGACATTCTCTATGCATACCAGCCAGAAAGGTCCTGCTTGAGTTGTCGCTATGTGGAGTTGAACTTGATGAAGGCTAGGTGGCAGTGAGTTAGTCACGCATGTCCGAGACTTTAAATGCTGATTGTAGAGCAGGTATCAGGGTGCCTCTTGGAAGGCTAGTCGGAGGGGGGAGGGTCTGAAGGTCTCCATCGTCATTCCTCCGCCACTACGAGTTCAGCTGGGGGATACATTCTATTTTCCCCTGGCTCTTCGGGCTCTCAAGGATACCATTGAGTTGTCTGCGAGGCTGAAGATTGGTGATATTGATTCCACCTTAGACTTTAGGAAAACTATGGTCTCTCGGGAAACTTTCTTTCTTTTAAACCCTCCGGTGCTGAATCTGCGGGGTGTTTGGAGTATCATGATCCGTATTCAGAGTCAAACTGAATCAAGCTTTATGAATTTCGATATTTATGTATAAACCTTGGATTATGTATAGTTTTATCTACATCTGGCTCTAGCTAGAACGGTATGGGAGAATAACAGTTAACCAAACAAGGATCAGATCTTACATCTCTAAAGATAGTATCCAGGAAATAATATACAAAAACACGCGTGGTTCATAGAGGTTATGCAGTATTTGTATAGCCAATGACGTGTACGTCTGTTGGTGTTTCTATATATATATTAGCCACTGTTGCAGTTGAAAAAAAATCATGGCCTTCGGATTATTATTTAATCTAAACATTCCCTGACGGAGTAAATCATGTCTAGCTGACATTCGCTTACCTTGACTGTTACTACCGCGTCCAACATGTGCAAACTATATATAAAGATCGCGAAAAAACTTGCAAGAAAGTTCGGGCTTGTCGTGGTAGACCTTACCGTTGTCCGATACCGCCGCGGAGAAATGAGAATCATCCGCTCTACATTTCCTCCATTTGATGACCAGGATATGGTAAGTCGCTACGATTCTTAAAACGATAAAAACTAACGTTATAGGATAATACCGAGTCTCATTTCTGCTCAGCTGAACGAAGACAGTTGAACATACCTCCCTCCTATGAATCACTGGAGAAGGTATTGGGATGATTTGCCGGCATATGGATAGTGTTGTATATTATGCCCCATTTTCTATATTTTCCCTATTCCTTTTGCCGTGCTCAGCTGGCATTTATAAATCCATATCTATATAACTATTGAATGAAATATACTCTAATATTCTCAGCATTGTTCTAGGGTAGAAAGGTGGCCTTTCTCTGTGCCGTGATCTTGGCTACGGCTAGCTATGTAATTCCCACCTGGAGTTGTTTTATTCCCTTTAATATAGCTAGCTGCACATCATTTCCTGATCGGCTGAAATGCCTGGACTAGTTTGTTAGGGTTACATTTGACTCATCAGTCTAGGTTTGGTCGATTGGTGATGGATTGGTTAAAGTCTAATTTAAAAATAGGCAATCGCCCAGCTAGCATGGAGAATTTAATCAAATCATACTCCACAACATTGTTCCCAAAGAATAGTATGTTGTCTATACAGTAACCATAAACTTCAGGCAATCATGCAATAATTGAACTGTCACTAGGAGCAACTCTATAGTGGAAACACCAGACAAAGCATTTTATTATACATTCCAAAGAACTTCGAGATAGGGCAACCCTTGACCGAAATCCTCCGGATTCCTGGCCGGCTGTGTCTCCGACGAGTCGAAGAGCAACAAATATTAACAGCCAAGTGGCCAGGGAGTGCCAATACTCACCCTCTGGAAGACTGATACACTTTCTGCAGGACAAGATATCATCTCCTGCTACCAAAGCCAATCATTCAACATATCACTTTATACCACGGCTCACTAAGGCCTCGAAATAGCCTTACCCCTCACAATTATACGCACAAATCCTGGTGTTGATGTCTCGTGTGGGAGCGATAATGACGAATGATAGGATAATACTTTTATTCGGGATTTCCTATCTGTTTCATTATCACCCTCATACCACCTCCTAGGCTGAATCTATCAGCAGGTCCAGTTTATGGCATAAGAAGAGCTTCGGGATCACGAGTCTGCCTGGGGAGTCTCTAATATTTAAAGGACGTGAAAGAACCTCTAGGTCGACCTTTTTCTACATACAAACACATCACTGCCCGACCTCTACGTTTTCTTGACTTCTCATCAAACTATTACTGAAATATGTCTGACTTCATTCTTCTTTATACTACCATGAGGCCAGGATCATCAGAGACGGATGATGCCTTCATGGCTCCTATGTATATTGAGTCATCGATTTGGTACGATGACGAGGGTCTGGAAAGTACTGAAAATGGACTTCCTGGAATAGGGTATTCAAGGAGCAGTATTCGTAAGTCACGCTATTTATCCTCAAGAATAATATTCCTGACGGTGCTGTAGAGCTTTCGGGTATACCGGACACAGGATATTCTACTTACGATGGCGACGATATCTCTACAAATCATCCTTCCCGCCCAGGTGACACCCTCGGTATGAAATAATATTTATTTATAAAGTGGTTGGTTACTGATCCAGCATTAGAAAACCCAATTACAATTGATACTTCTGATCACGACAACAATATCTATCCTGGTAGCTATTCAGGCGACAGTATTGGTATAATACTTCCTCTCCCCGAATTTCCATTGGCTAATATCCCTAATAGATAATCCTATTGAGTTGGATATCGCTAGTGATAGACACAGTAGCTGTGATACTGCTAGTGTGTATACTAGAGGGCCAGGTAGCACCCACGGTAAGCTGTGATTCTTATTACTGTTATGGTAAATATACTGATAATATTGAAGAGAGCCCAGTTCAAGTCGAAAACCTCGTAGACGGTAAGAAACCATCTACTCATTTCCTGAGACAGCAATAACTTTTATACAGGACGTTCACGCCAAGACCATTATGTATGCAAGATATGCTATGTGCACGATATTGATCTAACTCTAGGCTGCGGCCATACATTTTGCTATGCATGCTGCAATGAATATTTTCATCGATGTATCATGGGCGGTATGTACATACATATCGCCGCGCAGGACCTCTCTAATCAGCCCGAACCCCCCAAATGCCCGTTTTGTCGAAAGACTATTCCCGGAAAATATATTGATACAGAGGAGGCATCTCAGGAGGTAGAGGGTCGTTTCTTTTTTACCAAGTGCCTGGAGCAGGAGCAATGTTTCTTGAATGGCTACGCAATAGAAGGGATCAGGATGATATTACCGTAGCGGGTGGCTGGGTTGGTTTATCCGCCACGTGTTTCTGTTGACATGTACTGATCCTTGGGTGTTTCAATGTTTTTTAGTTGTTTGAAGATGCTATCTTGTTGTATTCCTTATATCTAAGGGCGTAATGAAGAAGGGTTTATTGGATGACAGCCTGCGCTAAAGAATACGTCCTAGACCGGGCAGGCTTTTTAATCACGGTTGGTTACAAACTTCAAGATATTGATATTGAATAACAGATAATATCCTTTTCCTGACCAGGAGGATAAAGGTAGGGTGTAGAATTACCAATCAAATGTTGCCGCACAAGATAATAGCCCGCTTTTCAATATCAGAAAGCCCAGTGCTAGCTCGCGTTTCGCTATCCTGGGATATTGAGAAGCATTCCGCCACCTTGGCTATAAAAGTCCCTCGACCCCTGCTTTCATAACCTCATAATCACCTTTACCACTCGCCAACAACATGCTAAACAGCTCCAATATGCTGCACCTTCCTCTTAGGGGCCCAGAAACCCCCTCTGCGCGCATGAGGCTGGTAGTCAGGCTCGTATAACTCGATTGGCGCATCTGACGCAATGGTGATTTTTCTTAGTTCATCCCGAGTCTCAGGATCAGCAGCAACTATTTAGTCCATTAGCAATAATAGTAAAAGATTAGGTACAACATACCGGACAAGAGAAGTTTTCCATAGCAGAGCTGGAGCTCTTTCTTCAGGATCCGATTAAAATCGGGCTTGCCATAAAATGCCGCCCCCCGTCGGCCATAATGTATGTTCTCACCTTCTTGATGAGCGCCGCTCGACTTGTGGAGAATATAAAGCGAGTAATGTAGAGCCTGAATATAATAAGTATGTGAAAGGAATGTGTTAAGGCTGTGTTACCAGGCTTTTTGAATCTTCTTCCAGGAGCTGATCCATCCAGTCGCAGACCCAATCCTCGTGATCTAGCACATCAGTCTCATGCGTCCATGCACCCAAGGGTGACTTACATTCTTCATCAAGTTGCCAAATCAAAGAAATTCGCTGTTTTCTTTTATGAACATGGTCCTTGTCCTCCTGTGTATCCAGCTGGCGTTGAACAAGCTCCCTTGCATAGGGCAACTGCGCAGCAATCCCGACACCGGTGGCAATCAGTAAGACGGAGTCGTACGGTTCAGTATCTTTGTGACGGCCATACGGCCCATCCAGTAAGACACGCAGGCGTTTGTGCGAACTGTCATTTAATGCCTTGGTAAACCCAGATTCGACCTTGGCCAGGACTGACACGCTAACTGCTTTGCCATCTGGCCCGTTCCTCCACCATATAACAGAGAACGGATGTGATTCGGCAAAGGAAAACAGTCGCACAGCAGGAGCGCGCATGTAGACGTACTGCCCTGGACGAACATTCCACGGCCGGGGCGGTTCGAATGTTAACTCAATGGCATCCTTTGTTTTCTTAAGGTCCGCTACCGCAAGAGATTTTCCAGTCATGGTATTGCGAAACAGTTGAAGAGAGAGATGAACTGTAGAACTTAGGAGGAAAGAACCAACGGCGGTTATTAGGCATATACCACCATATCCAAGGCGTCTTTTTAAATGTAACCATGCAGTAACTGCAAAAAAGATTCCAAGAATAGAGTGAATTTTTGAAGACACTTCATAGGACCATTGGTGGACTCTGATCGCTGTTCCCACTAGCATTACCGCAAGAGCAACGGCTGCCTATATTACAATGAGTATAGAGAGCTTTCGGATAAGATCAAGGGTTATGCTCAACCATAAATCCATATCGTTGAATCCGATCCGCTAGGCTGAACGCCACTTCTCGCAAAGCAAGTACCACGTGGAGAATGCTTTGTAGAGTGGCCATTATCCCAAACGTTCGGTGCATACTAATGTATGTAGACAGTGATATTCCACACAGTTTAGCTGCCAGGCTAAACTGGGGGACACAAAGAGTGGGTATCAGATGCAGGACGGCGAGTAGAGCTGCACGAGAGCTAGCTGCCGCGAGTCCAGAGACACCCAGTATATTAAACACCAGGGTGCCCCCGAAGTAAAGTACGTGTAGTATGGCTTGTAGTCGGGTAATTGGGCCCCAGAACCGCCGCCGGCGAAAGAGATAAGGAAGTGTTAGACACTTATGAAGCAGCAGAATCAACTGTGGGTTAAACAGAAAGATGAAGCACCGGGCCATGTATCCTTGCAGAAGGAGCATGGCTGCAAAGCCAGCAGCAACATAGGTGTAAACCATCAGAGCATCCATGGCAAGGCTAGAGGATAGATAAACACAACATGCTGACTGTAGTTAACAGGGAAGGGGCCAGTTTTACTATAGAATAGGCCACATTCAAATATTCATCGAGTGTGGCGGGCCGTAGGGTACCAAAGTCCTTGTGCACACGGTATTTTTTCTGAATGAAGTGAGCCCGGGTAGAGCTAACCAGGTATCAGACAACCATGCTAAACTCATGCGCATAGTGGCCTTCCATGTGGCAGAGAAACCCATATGCTAAAGGAGTTTATACTAGCCACTGATTATAGAATGCCACGGTCATAACTATTCGAGTTCACGATATGCATGGCTTTCCACAGGGCCAGAGTTTCCCTAGAGCCAAGTTGGCCGCATGGTGTCCACGGATTCGCAAAATGTGGCATTTCATATGATAAGTACTTCCGTGCGGAGCCCGGATGACGCACAAAGCATCGACAGAACATGGCTGTCCATGGGGCCAGAATTACCTCATGCTCAAAATGTCCGCAGGGTACATACAGTGAGGCAAAAATTGTGGCTGTCCGTAGGGTGACGATTCCCAGACGGTCAAATTCTCCATATGGTGCCCATAGGTTCATAAAAGTGTGGCTCTCCGTAGGGCATCCATTCCCCAACGACCAAACTCTCCATATGGTGTCCACAGCTTCGTAAAAGTGTGGCTGCCCATAGGGCAAGGATACCCCGGTGCCTGGAATGGCCGCGCGAAACGTTTCGTATTGCAAAATGCGGCTGCCCACAAGACTTGCGAGACCGTATGACTAGACTCTCCACAGGGCGCCCTAGGTACTAAAAAAGAGTGGCCCTACTAGTCTCCATGTGCCTAGGCTAGCCGTAGGGAACTCACAAGTCACTAGGTGGGGGCCCCCATAGGGCACTTAAGACCACCGTAAACTGTGGCACCCCCCAGGCGCCATAACACGTGCCTTTCCACAAAGTTAAAAAGTCCCTTGCTTACTAGATTTTCACTATCATTGGTTTAGCGACAGAGCTATAGCTTACCCATATTATAATTAGAGGCATAATAGTCCCGCAGGGTAAGCCACGATATACAATGATGGCCTGCCACAGGGTTGTCTTGTAAAGGTAGCACACCTAGGCTCGTTGCTGGTACGGACAGCATTTTATAGCATTCACCACCCATACAGGAGAGGGATAACATAGCATATAGGCCTATAATGATGTAGTTCGCAACGTATTAGAGGTCGAAGTTAGTCCAAAATGAATGAATTACTATCGTGTGTTGCGCTTGGTTTCGGATAAACCAAATATCCGACACACTGACGCGTAGGTACCTGCGTGTAGGCAAGAGCCACAGTTTCACAACCAAAGCTAATGAATACGAATGTTTTGTTCCTGGTATAAAGGCTGGCCTAATATTCGAGTTTAAAGCCCAAGTATTTTAGATCATAATTAATCAGAGAATTGAATGCCACAATGACTCAAGGTCAAAGTAACCGTGTCGTTTCGATGTTCCCACGGAGTAACACGGGACAGTCCGGTACACCTAAGCGACCTTTGCCAAGCGGAGAGTCCTCCGAACAAGGCACGAAAAGATACCAGAGGCTCCAGAAAGGCCCTCAGGCTATCACAACAAAAGTTTCATCGCCACTTCCAAGAGAGGCTAGAAACCCATGGGAGAGATATCAGAAGGTGTTCAAGATAGACCAGGCAGGCCCTAGCTATATCGCCCATGCCAAGAATAATACTTTTGCAGAGATGATTGTAAAGGAAGTGAAAGCCCCAAGCAAAAATTGGCTGACAAAGCTCACTTCGACTTCCAACCAAAATGTTGTTCACCTGCAAGAGGCCATGTTCGATAATGACTGCATATATCTCTTCTACGAAGTCATGGACGTGTCTCTGTCCCAGGCCTTTGCGACGCCGCTCGGTCGATTGAAAGCGTATGAAGTAGCTGCATTTAGCCAGGAGCTGTTGCATGGACTCGATTACATACACAAGAATCTCAAGCTTGTGCATGGAGACATTACCGCAAACTGTGTTCTCCTGTCAGTAGAAGGGGCTGTCAAGATAGGTAATAAACTTATCAAGACTCTATCCACAGCAGCTGACATATTACAGCAAATATCGGTACAAGTATGCTCCAGGCTTTAAGTTCGAAGACAGCACAGGCCGATATTCGCTCTGTTGGAAGAATTATTATTGAATGCCTTGAGCCGAGTACATTTTTGGAAAATGGTGACTCTTTAATTTCTGACAGCTGGGATCCAGTCCTGGTCAAATTTTTGGAGTCTACGAAATCAGACTCTATTCAAGAGCTTCTACGGGTAAGTAGGTACATATCACTGTTAAGAACCACAGCTAAAAAAAAATCAGCACGACTTCCTTCAACTCTCTCCGGGACCTTTCTGTCTTAAACCATATATTCGGTTAGCGAGGGAATTGGCATCGAAAGATGTAGAGCTAATTGAGGATGATTAACATTAAATATTCCTACCTTTTGAATTCGATCAGTGAATTATTTCTTTACTATCGACTAAATTCTACTCCTTCGTCCTGTACAGAGCTTGCTTCCTCTTGGTATAAAATTGTAAGAATGTAATTAATCGAAGCATGTTACAATTCTATAGTATTACACCACGCTGGTTTTCCATAACCCATTTATATAGGGAGTCGTCATAGTACGGTAGTTCAATCGTATCGTTTACCCACATATCAACGTCCGGCAGCAAAAGGTCGCTACGGAAGATGCCATCGCGCCCAAAAAGGATGAGAGTTGGAGATTCACGAATGGTAGTCATGACTTGTTCGGCTGTGAGCGATTTAAGCATGGGTGCTTTTTGCATTGTGCTGTCGACTTTTGCGAACCAGACGTTGCCCCATACTCGAAGTAATTGAGGAAACTGGTCTACGCTTGAGGGTGGAAGACAGTACAGCTTTCTCTCAGACACATCAAGCAGTGCGATATAGGGGTAATCTTCCTCAGAGTCACGGAGGTGTGCCACAAATGCCCCTGGGGTAATATTCATATCGCAGACACATAGATCGGGTCGTTGTATTTTGATAGCACTGCTGCCATTATGCGGCTGAATATCCGTTGTAGTTTCGTCGCGCTGTCCAACAGGTGTAGTGCCAGATGGCAGTTGGAGCAGATCTTGCGAGATGTGACCTACTGCGGCAGTCACTGAAGGCCTATCATGCATAACAGCATCTTCCACTGGTGGTGGGATAGTATCTTGCATTGAGAAGCTCTGACCTGCCGTAGCGGTCCCTGAAGGCTCGTCCTGCATCATGGCGTCTTCAAATTGTGGTAATGGGGCCGTTTTTTGAGTTGAAGGACCCTGGAGCTGCTCAGAACCTACGGTCCTAGAAGCTGGTTCTTGGTCATTATAATCCCTCACGTTACCAATGCCTCCACCATAGACAGGGAAGAAGTATGTGAACATATTTCTCTTGACAGCAAAGGTTGACAGGTTCTCTCCAAAGCTCTCGGTGGTAAGAGAATATATATTTCGGAAGAAGAGGTACTTCTGATCCCAGAAAAAAGAGCTCATATCAGTCATCCCACAGCGCTTATCAAGCGACCAAGCTTCCTTTGTATCCGTCGTCAATGATGGACGAGGGGCTATATATGTATTCTTTCGCGCTATCTGTAGGAGGACATCAGCCACTCGCTTACTCCACTCCGAGAGAACTGATTGCTCGTACTCGAAGAGGGCGGGAGGGCGGAGCCTTGTTAAGAGGCTATGAATGGCCTGGAATTCAGGAGAGCGCTCCGGCAAGCTTGATTGGATTATATTACCAGGTAAAACAAACCCAATCTTGCGTACGAGCGTCTTGAAGCTGATCCACAGCTCTTGATGATCAGGTATTTGCCGTGGCTTCGAGTAACGACTGTGGCCGAGAGGGCGCACGTCTGACAGCCCATAAAAATGGCGCATAGCGAAGAGGAAGACCTGACAATAAGCCGACCAAAAGCCAAAACCGCCGTCAGTATGCTCAACGTATTGAAATACATCATCTGAGATCTGAGCTGGGAATTTCTGGTCCGGTGGAGGGACATAATACCTCCGCATAGCTTGTCGAATTGTTCCTTTATAATTGCTTGGCAAGAGCTTTTTCACCACATATATTATTGGCTTTAAATATTTTGTGTCTTCATGGAAGAGCTTCAGGGAAGGTATAATCCCTGGAAACTCCAATATAGCCCGCCGCAAGCGTAATCGAATGTGCGGATCCGTCACTCGAGGAAAGACCAGATTTTGATCAAATATGTCACATATATGACAACGGTCCTGCTCGGACAGGGAGGGACATCGTCCCTGCAGATAATCCACCGTATCTGGGTCCAAAAGTCCGGGCTCATGACAAGTAAGCTTATTCCATGCCGCAAGGATTCCGTAGAGGTAATCGGCTAGTTCCTACTACTGTCAGCACTGTTGATCATGTTTTGAGATTAGACCAGGGGCCAAACCTCGGGGCAATTTAGACTTGAGAGATGAGTTCCCATGTGCCAGGAATGCCATAAAGCGGGGAATTTTAAAAGGGCATCTAGTCCCTCTCGTAAATTGTTATAGCCGTGGTCGTCTTGCCCTGGCTTCTCTTTATATATTTGATAGAAATCACGGCATTTTGTGGGGGTCCATCTTGCCAGCCACTCACCCGCTGCCTCACCATCTCCACGTTTTTGATAATAGCGAACATTGCGAAATATTTCACCGTCACCAAACTCCCGTGAACTGCTATCCGCCTCACGCAGCTTTCTGCGGGACTCTGCGGTCAGTTTTGTGGAGTCGTAGAGAATGAAGTTCCACCATAGGTCGCCATAATCTAGCCACTGGTTGGCAGCTGTAAGTCGATGTTTTCCTTGTAAACAACGTAATTTCCAGCTTTGGTGTAGTTTGATCTCCTTTGGATCGCCTCTGGTTAGCCCTTGCAGTGAATTGAGTGCTAAGAGTTGTTGTAATTCGGACGGCGATAACTCGGCCGGTATCCAAGTCAATGGGTCCATCCGACGACAACCCTCCTTGTCAAACCTGTGGAGAAGGTGCCTGACATTTCGTTGGTCGAGAGATTTTGTGCCGTAAACCTCTAGACCTTCGAAGAGTAGCTGGTCCAGTTGGCGGACTTTGACACTTCCAAGTATGGCGTTGTCTACCTGATGTGCGATATCTAGGTCTTTCGTCATAGTGTATTCTTCAGTGGCTAATCCTCTTCTCATCTGGTAATACAGACCTGTAGGCTCTTTTTTTAATCCGTGGGCCACCTCAGGTAGGCCACGGTGTACAAACTTGTGGCTCTTCTAGTATAATTTGTTGGCGCTTGTTTATTTTAGGATGATCTGACTCCAGCTCAAAAAGTAAGAGGTAGCGCGGCACCATCCTGGGTCATCCAACCAATATGCCTTGGCAGATCCCGCTTATAGATCAACACTCCTCGTTTCGATAACTACTGGAGAAACGTGGCTCCTTCTAATAATCTATTCTGAATATATTCAATACTATCTTCTTCCCTTCCAAATCCACTACTAATATACCAACTGTGGGGTCTACTACAGTGATACATTTATTGATAAGCTTGTTGGATAGCTCCACCGCAATCCTTGCGACCAAAATGACGACTGAGATAGCATCTATAGGGCCATATGAGGTCCTCGCGTGGCCAGATCGGCTGGGGTCTCTTGGGGTTGGTAGGGACTCAGTATCCAGTTATAGCAAAAGCAGTCCAATTAACATTGTGACAGCACGTCATCGACTCACAAGAGAGCGATTTGCAATAAAAGCCGAAAGTATCCAGTCATTAATAAATGAAGCACATATACTTCATGCGGTGTCTGGAGGCATCGGCATACCGCAGTTGCATTGGTTTGAAACGGTTGATGAAAGAGATGTTTTGGTCACGGATTTGTATGGCCCATGTCTGGAGGAAATATTTTGCAAATCCGGCCGCTACTTTAGCATGCAAATGCTGCTCCAGCTTGCAGAACCGCTTCTATCCCGTATAGAGTTTATTCATTCCCGGAATATTATCCATGGTAACCTAAACCCATGGTCCTTTGCCTTAGGCAATATGGAATGGCAAAACCAGCAGGTTCTTCTGGTGGACTTCAACACCCAAATAGCACCTGAGGCGACCATACATTGTGATCTATACGCTGTTGGCCAAATTTTGGCCTATTTCTACAGGGGCAGAGAGTCCTGGGAGCAGTATCAAGAGAGTATGAAAGGTGGTTACGACCAAGAAACTGCCCCGGTAATTGTTCAATACTTCCAAGAAATATCCTCATGCAAGGCCAAGAATCCCGACTACGGACATTTAAAACAGGTCTTTCATACGGCCCTGCAAGACTTAGCATTCCACTTAGCAATTGCATTGGACCTGAAAGGTCCACGAGCAATCACGAAGGGGTTGCCGCCTCGGATAGATGCATTACCATCAATGACCACTGAATCCTTATTCGATGCTCTCAATCTCAAGCTGTCACAGAGTGGTCGACAAATTGGGAGATCTACAGCCACTCTTCGAGCATGCGAATGGCTTGACCTCCTGGAGCTTTTTGACGATATTTTAAAGATATATACTATTATACTTCTCCGAGATAGGCCGTTTGTAAAGAAGGAACAATTTTTGCGTGCATACCAACTTCCAAACCGTCTCTGGAGGGATTTACACTGGTTCCTAAAACGTATCAACAGCGGAACTGACGGCATATCGAGCATCTTTCGGCGTACAATCAATGAGAGGGCATATAAATTCATCTCGGCTTTATATGACATATACCCGTCCTATCGGCCATACTGGACAGAGTATTTGCTAACGCTGGCACGTGAGAGGAAAGAGATTGTACTTATTGACGAGAAACCGGTCTGGACGCAAACTGTACTCTACTGGCAGGTACAGCTCGGTCGAGAAAGGGCGTAGCATATTGCACTTAATTCTTAGACTTTGGTCATATATACAGGCATTGGAGAATCCAAATTGTTTTGTGTTCAAATATCGAGAAAAGGCCAGAATAAATTAAAGTAAGAAAATAAATAAATAAATAAAGGAAACAAAAAGGAATAGATAGTAGTTTAAAAAATCACAGCAGAGGTACGTGAGACAAGGTAAACAGGTATCGATTCCAACAGTGTTAGACCACCCAGAAGAACTAAAGTCTTTCAAAGGATTGGGGTAGTCGAGAGATCTAGTGTTGGTGGCTTTGACAGGTTGTACAGCCGCCGGGTTATGGTGGTAGCTATCTGCTTCTTGTCATTCTTGAAGTTGTCAGGTATCCATATTTCCGCCTTTGGCCAATGCTCTGCCTGATCAGGGTTGCTTTATTAGCCAAAGTGGGAAATTAGAAAACTCGGTATACTGACCACTTCATCCGCCTGTGGTACCCAATCTTCTTGTGGGTGGGAGTTGTAAACTGTGTACCGTATAGAGCGTTGGCGTTTTGGCTTGCTCAAAATCACAGTGTAAATTTTGCAATCCCTCTCGTTCTCAAGCGCATCCAAGTATAAATTATTAAGTTTTGTCAGACAGCTGCGTTTGCCCCGGCGATAGCGTTCTCTATCAGCCTTGAATTTTCTTTTCGGATCATACGTAGCCCGACGGCGCTCACGCCTCTCCTTCCAGGAGGTTCTCTGCTGATGTGGTGGCATGTTCACGAGAGTATACCAAAGATGTTTCTTGAAGTATAGTCAATAGCTCTTGTCAAGCTCTTGTACGTCTATCTATTTATAATAGAATGGCTCTCTAAATGCCACAATATTCCAGGTGAATTTAGTTACTTTCTAAATAAGCTATTCACTATTTTTAACTCCGCGTAACGCTGACGGGTTCCATACACTCGCAGTGAAGCCCTCCCCAGACCCCACTTTTAACTCTAAACAGCTTAGCATTACTGCTATATAGGATAAATTATGGATATATAAAACAACGGGTTAAAAATAGGATTATGGGTCGCAGATGGGGCACAAACTTGGTTCCTGGCGCACCTGCGTCGTCTATTTTATACGCCTAGCATAAGGGTGGCTATTCTTTTCTATCTTTAGTCAATATGAAACGCGTGTAATGGACAAAGCAAAACTATGATGTATTTGTTTAAATACTTTTATAGCGTAAGATATGGATTGCTTGCTAAATACATTATATAATCGTTAAAAACACAAAAATACCAAGCATTTAACCAGCAATAGATCACAGACACAACATAGCAGCAGCTAAAGTAAGGAGTAGAACTAAAGGAGAAACTGCTGAAGCCCCACTTCCCTCAGACACGGAAACAGTCGCAGGGGTAGAGCGCCTTATGGATAGTGCACTTGCACTTTCTGAGCAACCAACTGTCTGCGTGACCGTCACTATCTGGACGGGAGTAATAACGGAAGCCTCGGCAGGGCCAGGGCTTGAACTTGAGGCAGGGCTGCCAATGGGACTACTGGCCGGATTGGAGAGAAGACTCGTTGTGGGCTTGGCAGTGGAAGTAGAACCAGCAAGAGAGCTTCGTGCCGGTGACGCAGTAGAACTTGCGGCTGGATTAATTCCCGGAATACTACTCCGACTAGCGCTTATTTCAGCGCCAGAAACAGAGCTCGGATCACCGCCGGCGCTTCCAACACCGCTTCGCTTTGTATTCTCAATGAACTCCTTCATCCTATCTCCCGGATTAAGTGCAAACACCATGCCAGCATGGCAGTGGGACAATGGTTGGTTTTGTTTGCAAAAAAACCATTGTGGCTCGAGAGAATTTACTGTGATAGTTAAGGTAAGATCTTTTCTGTCTTGTGGATTGTATTGGCCAAAGCCTGTATCCAATCCTCCGATAGGTGAGCATGGATCTCCCAAGCTCGACTGAGTCAATGTATGGTTGAGGCTATAAAATTCAAAAATTATCTGGTCCCCAACATTAGCATTGAGACGATTGGGGGAAAAGGCAGGACTATCTGCCCGCCCAACAGCAATGCTATGCACTGCCTTTCCCTCTATTGTAGCAAAATCGACTGTCAGGTTCTGGTCGATGCTGCGTTCCATAGTATTAGACTCGGAGCACTAAGCACCCGGATCTAGAGAAATAACGTACTCAAGCTTGACCGATAATGCCTGTAAGGCGAAAACCCCGAAAATAAACATACACGCCAGCATGATGCTTATTATAGGCTGATTTAAAGTATTATCCTGATATATTTGGCAGATAAAGGCCTAGATTATGAAAAGTAGTATCCAAATCGTTAAGTGCTCGCTTGTCTTTTAATAGCATGTGTGCCAAGAAGCCACGATTTTAGAAAGCATGGTATTTTTTAGTGGGCTGTAGTATATCGTGGCTCAGAGGAAAATCTATTTAAAGGCCATTATATCACCAGCCATTGATCTATCCAAAATCTGCAGTCGTATTTTCTAAGTACCCCACGCGATCAGCCGGTCTGGTCATATAAGCACACACAAAGCACACAACAGCAATTTTCAATTTATCTCTGGTGATACTTATTTCCGAATCAGTCTTTGAAAATAAATATAAAATCCATATCATCAACTTCCTCAACTGCAACTATATCATAACAAACTCTCTTTCTATACAGCTATTCCACAATGTCTGACACTTCTACTTATCAGGAGCCTGCGGTTACCAGACAAGATGGGACAGAAATAATGGAGGAAGCAGACGTTATTGGGAGTCTTGGCACGGCATCGAACCAAGCTTCTGGTAATAATGCAAACGAGGGCCTGCAGCCTCCCGGTGATACAAACTACTTGTCCCCTTCAGTGGAGGACGCCAACGCTCTTGGACCTCCTGGCACGGTATCGAGCCAAACTTCCGGCAATAATACAAGCGGACAGCCAGAGCCTTCTGGTAAAGCCATCGCATCGAGCAATATAAACCAATTGTTCCCTTCAATGGAGGCCCAGGTTACGACACAGCCCAGTCTAGGACCAAATATAGCTGCACTTCCATCCAACTTAAACGCTACTGATCCCACGATGCCGCAGAATACCCAACAGCCTCTTCCATTAGGCCCTCAAGTCCATGTTCAACCCAACCCATCGAATATTGCATATAATTCTACAAGCAACAGCCATCAAGCTCAGGGAGGAGATTTATCAGAAATACTGCCAGATGCTGTTCCTTTTGACGACGACGGGTTTGCCACAGACGCGGGAGACTCCGATGCTGGAAGTGATACCGACCTGCTTGACGAGGACAATAAGCGCAGAAAAGATCTTAAAAGATCGCAAAAAATAGCCATTCTACATAAAATTGCTGAGCTTCCCTCTGAGGACATAACGAGAGCCATGAAAATGATCCACGAAGCAGTACCAGAAGGATACGGGCTCTCGCTGATGGATTTCGGTGCAATAGTACACCAAGATAAATGGACGGCTGATAAAGATAACTATCCACGAGCACAAGAGGCCTTCAAAAGTAAGTCACTATCATATATACTACGCGCAGTGGAAGCTGACTAAATTCTCAGGGTTGCAGCTTTTTCTTAACATACTTGAACAAAGGCAGGGTGAATTACGCAACAAGAAGGATTGGCTTCTTTTCCATTCCGACAAGCAAGAGAATCCCGATGATACCGGAAAAGGCCTGAGACGATACCATTTCGTTGCGCATCGGCAAGCCACAGAATATCTAAAGGTTCTCTTTAGTTTACTAACTACCCAAGATTCCGAGCAGAATACCAGAAAAGCAAGATCTTGTCTCGATATGATAAATAAGGAAATTGAGAAACAAAATCGAAAGAATAAGCATTCACTGGATCTTGGAAAGGTTGATTACTCACGGATCGAAGGTTTGTGGAGAGCAATTAAGGAGCGGTACGCGATAACTGGCCATAATCAAAATGTGGACGACATCATGCGCCCTCTAAGAATGTTTTGCGAACATTCTCACTATCCCCGAGGGTGGAAAACTGCTCCCCCAACAGAAGATCTCATATATGAGTTAAGAGAGAATTACTGGGGAACTATTTGTGATAGCCTAACCGAAGATTTCACAAAATGGTACAAAAGATGTCTTGCAGGAGCGTCAAGCGACGAATACAAACAGTATTTCCCGAACCTCAACGCTTTCAACCAGGAACTAGCAGAGATAAATCGGGCATATCAGCAAGCGCCTGAAAGCCACTGTCCACCAGTGGAGAAGATCGCAAGTGCTATTCATTTAATTGCTACGCATGTTCGGAACCGCAACAGTACAGATTACAAATCGGCGTCGAAAGAGCTAATGACGTTTGTTGCCGAGGGGGGTTACCCTTGTATGTGGGTACCTGAACTTCTTGATAGCGATGGTGACTGGAAGCCCATCGACCCAAACAGCATAACATCCCCACCGAGCAGCCAAATACCAAACCAACCAGGCGGGCCAGTACCATCATACCCGGAAACCCGGGTGGACCCTCCGGACGTCAACAACGTTCCTGTACTCAACGCACCGCAAACAAATGGGCGACACAGGATGCTTGCTTTCACTCCACATGTAAGCCAACGATGCATTAAGCCTGGCTATACTTCAACTGGGGAGAGGATCCATTACGTGCAGCCCCTTGGTAATCGTGCAAACTTTGTGGTGGAAACACAAGATCAGAAATATCGACTAATCGGGAGCGCGGCTGCTGGTGGCAGACCAGCTATAGAGGGAGCCAAGGCAGCAAATGTTCAACAAACGGTAAACAATCCAAGTGAGATCCAAAACATTCGCACAATGGTACAGATTGGTGGTCAATATGGGTTGTTTTTCGTGGCTGCAGCTCCATGGGATCCAGCAAGCTCAAGATTGCCGTGGTTCGTGGTGGGCTTTTATTATAACGGCAATGGTACAAACATCAGAGTGGCTATATCAAGGTCTAATCTGGGTAAGATTCTGTCACCAAAGCATGCCGATGGACTTATTGTGGAAGGCATAGTGGGTAGTACGGATATGTCTCTACGAGAGGCCTTGGAAAGTCAAGTTGCATGGGTGTCTCTTGAGAATCAGCGGTCTTTCCCGCAAGAGGCCAATTTCCCTCCAGTCATGCGGTCGGCGACTCCAGCTGGAGTAGTATCAGGACCGGCACATTCTATACCGCTGATGTCCCAATCGGGAGCTTTCCCTCCCGCAGCACAGGTGCCAAAGCAGCGTCAGTCTCTTCCCTGGGAAGTATACGAACCGTGGTGGTTCCAAGCACCCAGGACCCAGCAAAAACCGCAAAAGAAACAAACGCAAAAGCAACAACAATACACACAAGGGCAGCCACAAATATTTAGCCACCCTCAGTATACTCCGCAGCAACACTCGCTTATGCAGTCGCAATATCCATACACACAGCAACAGGTCCCGTATACGCAGCAGCAGGCCACATCAATGCAGCAGCTGGCCCCATTAATGCAGCAACTGGCCCCGTATATGCAACAGTTGACCCCATATATTCAGCAACATGTTCCGTATACGCAGCAGCAGGCCCCATTAATGCAACAACAGCCTTACTTCCAGTCACAGATAGCTCCAGTCATAATGTAGCAGCATTTATATGAACGGCACTAAAGGCTGAGGTAAAGAGATTGTTGGATAGCTTCATGTCGGTATAGTATTTTATTTGACTATTACATGGCTTACCTTTCTCGGTTTCTGTTGTCCTTCGTCTTTATAACACCTATTGAGATAAGCTGATCAGTTTTGATATGTTTATGGTATTAATCTATACAATACTTGGTATATCGCTAAAGACTATTTATAGTATTAACTTTAGTCCCAGTAAATTACATAAAGGCTCTTTTTATGGATTGTGATGCTAGCCATACAGGAAAACACCAGATATTCCAGCTGCGTTCAGGACATAGCTCCCTTTTATTAGTGATACCAGGTTATGTAAATGACCCCGTTCCATATAGTCCAATGAATACCCCGAAATGAAAACGTTTCTCCTCAAGGCTCATGTCATCGCCAAACCAGGATGGAGTTGGTAGTGGATAGGTGACTTGTTGCCCAGTGGCTGGGTCTGTGATTACGGCATCGGGTATGTAAAAACTCGCCAATTCATCTAGAACATCCGCCGAGAGTAGATGATACTGTAATATTGTCCGTGGAAACTTCGGATGCGGCTGTCCGGTTGTAAGAGATACAAGAGGCCGTAGGGGTTTTTTCATGTGCTCCACCACTTTGGGAAAGCACCGGTGGAATTTATTTATATTAGAGTATTGCAAAGACATCATCAACTTGTAATGTTGGTTCACATATGTTACAATGCCCCTGTGTTTCCCATGTAGCATATATGTTTATATCTAAGGAGAAGCTTCCTATAAACCGTGGCGCTGTGGCCCATGATACATACACGATGGCCGCAGCGCCACGAGAATCCGTGGCCTTTCATACTATATATATATAGAACGTCTTCCTTATACACCTTATAGCCAGTTTACAGGATATTAATTCCAGAACTAAATATGAGTCTACACAACGCAGCAAGCACGGAACAGCTTGGTGGCCGCCCTGCCAAAGGTAAAAGTTGTGCTTTTACACCTAGTCTAAAGCTAATATAGATAGGATTACATACTTCAGATACCAAGGAGGTATCAGGGAAGTGTGATCCCGACCTCCAGCGATCTACTCCAAGTCAAGCTTTAGTTCTTTCAAACCTCAAGTCTGCCAACGCGAGCCCGGAACTAGGACCTATGTCCTCAATCCTGGGAAATGATTTTATGGAGGACTTAAAGTTACGGGATCAGTTCGAGACTGCACAGTCAGAACTAAAGGATGTACCCTGTGGGTTGAGTGGGATTTCAAAGACGGATTATTATTGGACTTGGTGCTTAGGTAGCCCATGTCTTCATGGGTATTTCCCCCGGTTTATCAAGGGCAAACGTATTACGTGCCCTGCCTCTTTTGAAGCATTCAAGTCATCCAAGCTTAAGCAGGCCTAATTTATTATTGCTTCTTGGCCTTATCTCTTTATCGGACAAGGAGAGAGCAGTGTTAATAAACAATACCGAGGCGATGGTTACTTATTATCTATTGTATTGTTATTTTGCTATCGGCTTTTTAACTGTTGCTGTACCTTATCATACAGTTCGAAATTTTATTTAACTACTCGAATCTATAATCATGAATAGGGTCATTAAGCACTTTGGACTGTTAAACCGATTTTGTAGGCTGGTATTGTAGGCCACAAAAATATCCTTAGCTATAGTACGACTTGGTCGTATCCTAGGCAGCATATGAAATTGATTATAACGCAGGCATTAATACTCTCGTCTATATTCTTAATTAAACAGGGATTTGGTATATCTTACCGGCTAGCATGGGCTCCAGGACAATGTAACCCTACTTATAAAATTGTGGCCTCGTGGCCTATGAAATCAATGATACTACGCCGATTGTGGTGTTGTGGCCTATAGTAAAAAGTGTGGCCAAACGTAATAATATATATATAGTGTTCTTGTTTATTAACTTTTTAACATTGTGGTGTTCTATTATCGATCTATCCTCTATTTTGCTGGCAAAATGACAATGGACTTAGGTTTACTTTCACTCGAATCTGCTGAAACACGTGCTGATGGCAGTTCTCTAGTTCAAGGTATGAGATGGTCTATGTTTCTAGAATTATCTAATTTTTAAAGAAAATGTGCCCCAGGTAAAGCTTCCTGAGGCTCAACAGTATTCGCCCTTCCCGCCTTCTACAGTGACGAGCGAGCCTTTGCCTGGTCGATTTTTCTCACTTGGTCAACCATTCCCTGGCGATCCTGTATCGCTCAATAGCCCATCATTAAACACGCCCCAAAGAATAGTGACATC